CTTGAACCCGGGAGGTGGAGGTTGCAGTGAGTCAAGATTGTACCACTGCACTCCAGCCTGGGTGACAGAGTGAGACCCTGTCTCAAAAAAAAAAAAAAAAAAGCATGGCCAGGTGCAGTGGCTCATGCCTATAATCCCAGCACTTTAGGAGACCTAGCCGGATCACTTGAGGTCAGGAGTTCGAGACCAGCTTGGTGGATCACTTGAGGTCAGGAGTTCGAGGCCAACATGGCGAAACCCCATCTCTACTAAAAATGCAAAAATTAGCTGGGCCTAATGGCGCATGCCTGTGATCCCAGCTACTCAGGAAGCTGAGGCAGGAGAATCACTTGAACCCCTGGGAGGTGGAGGTTGCAGTGGCCTAAAATTGCACCACTGCACTCCAGCCTGGGTGACAGAGTAAGACCCCATCTCAAAAAACAAAAAAAAAAAGAAAAAGCATTTCTGCTTCTCCTCTAGTCTTCCCTGGTTTTACACCCTGGAAGTCTCCCCAAGAACCTAAGTGGTCCTTTCAAAGAAGTCCCTATTATGAATTGGAGCTGAAAAGCTTGGGGAAAAGGGACGTTCATGATATATAATGTATGAGATATATCCTTGGGATCAGCAAGTGAAACTCAGAACATCTTTTGCATGGAAACAATGCTATAAATTGCAGGTTCGGAGATTCTGTTTAGAATGGGCAAGTCCTTAACACATACTGAACTTAGGTCCTGTGTCCTTTTTTTTTTTTTGAGATGGAGTCTCGCTCTGTCACCCAGGCTAGAGCACAGTGGCGTGATCTTGGCTCACTGCAACATCTGCCTCCCAGGTTCAAGTGATTCTCCTGCCTCAGCCTCCCAAGTAGCTGGGACTACAGGTGCGTGCCACTATGCCCGGCTAATTTTTGTATTTTTAGTAGAAATGGGGTTTCACCATGTCAGCCAGGCTGGTCTCAATATCCTGACCTCAGGTGATCCACCCATCCTTAGCCTCCTAAAGTGCTGGGATTACCCGAGCCCAGCCAGGAATGTCCTGTAGCCAACTTGGAGGCCAGGCGTGATGGCTCATGCCTGTAATCCCAGCACTTTGGGAGGCTGAGGTGAGTGGATCACAAGGTCAAGAGATCGAGACCATCCTGGCCAAGATGGTGAAATCCCGTCTCTACTAAAAATACAAAAAAATTAGCTGGGTGTGGTGATGCGTGCCTGTAGTCCCAGCTACTCAGGAGGCTGAGGCAAGAGAATCGCTTGAACCCAGGAGGTGGAGGTTGCAGTGAGCCGAGATCGCACCACTGCACTCCAGCCTGGCAACAGAGCGAGACTCCATCTCAAAAAAAAAAAAAAGCCAACTTGGTAAGGCCTCTTAGTTGGGCTTTCTGCCTTTAAACTTGTAATCCCTTTTGATAAATGTGCTATATTGTTTTAGAAAGGTGGTTGTGAAATAAAGAACTGCCTGTGTTAACTCTATGTGTCTTACTGCCTTAAACATTCTATGTGTCTTACTGCCTTAAGCCAAGTCCAGTGTTTCTCAGCATGGTATATTGTGACCTAGTCTCTTACCTGTCAGCCATCACCTCTGATATCCAGTGCATCAGCATTATCTGATTCCTTGGTCCCTGTTATAAATAGGAGCTGAAAGTTTGGGAAAAGCATGCTTTTGTACATGCTTTCTCTGCCTAGAATGCCCACCTTAATATTCTTATCCTGACCTCCTTCAATTCCCACTCCTACCAACATCTGTCTAATGCCTATTTATCCTTCAAAACTCAATCTAGATGATGTCTTTCTCTAGGAAGCCTTTGAAAACCTATTGTAGGTCTATATAGTATAATTCTTTGATCAATGTCTGTCTTCCTTACAGAACTATACGCACTACGAGGCCCAGGATTAGGTCAGTTTTGGCTCACCATTGTATCTCTAAGGCCAACGCAGGCACGTAGCAGGCGTTCAATATCTATAAATGTATGAATCTATGGGTTGCTAGGTCTGAGTCAGATGCTTCTGCTGTGTGCTCCTGTAGCACTCCATGAGTACCTCTCTAGTACACTTAATGTACTGTATTGTAATTGTCTGTTTGTCTGTCTTCTCCAACAGGATTATGAGTTCCTTTTTGACAAGGTTTGTGCCTTTTATCTCCATATCCTCCAGTAGCTAGCATGATAACATGGGGTATATTAGGCTTTTAATATATGTTTGGATGTTAAAACTATCCATTCTGGGAAATAAGCAGATTCATTCATATATTGTTGGTAACAGTCTAAATTGGTACAACCACTTGAGGGGCAATTTAGGAATACTTCATAAAAAACTTTTAAATGGACCACAGATATACTATATTTACATATGTATTCAATGATATGGTCGTTGTTTATACTAACAAAAGGTCAGAAACGTCCTAAATGGTGAAACATTAGAGACTGGTAAAATAAGTTATGGTATAGCTATACAGTGGAATACTATATAGCCATTAAAAATGGGGTAGATCTTCTATAGAATGATACTCATAAAAAAAGTTTAAAAGCAAGGTTCACAGTAGTGTGTACAATGTATTTATTTTTATTTTTATTTTTTGAAACGGAGCCTTTCTCTGTCACTCAGGCTGGAGTGCAGTGGTGCAATCTCAGCTCACTGCAACTCCGCCTCCCAAGTTCAAATAATTCTCCTGCTTCAGCCTCCCAAGTAGCTGGGATTACAGATGCCCACCACCACCCGTGGCTAATTTTGGTATTTTTTTAGTAGAGACAGGGTTTCGCCATGTTGGCCAGGCTGGCCTTGAACTCCTGACTTCAGGTGATTGCCCACCTCGGCCTCCCAAAGTGCTGGGATTACAGGCGTGAGCCACTGCCCCCAGCCAATATATTTGATTTTTTAAAAACCTGTGTGTACACATGTACTAAGCTTATATATGCATAAAATATTCCTGGATATATCCAAAACAACTTCAATACTGGTTGACCATTTAGGAGAGAACCAAGTATCTGGCGGACAATTAATATTGTCTCAGCTACAATTGTAAAAGGAGACTTACTGTTCTATATATACTCCCATTGTGCCTTTTGAATGTTTGTGCCATGTGTATGTATTGCCTGTTTGAAAAAGTGGTGACAAATACTGCTTCATACTTCTGGACTATGAATCTTCCCTTACTGCAACAGATCTTAGCACTGAGCCAGATCCACCATCATTTCTTTTTCTTTCCATCCACCTTCTCAGTTCTCCATTTTGCATTGTGGCCATGTTATTTGCTCACTAGTGAAGAAGACCAAGAAAAGAGAAATCCTCACCCACCCAAGGCCATGCTGGTACTCTGTCTCTGACTTGTTTCCCCTCCCCTATCCTCCTGCCTCAGTTCCCTCTACGTCCCATTGGAGTTCCATTCCAAACATCTCAGAACTCCTAAGTGCCTCATCCCCATATATAACCCTACCCAACCTCTTCCCAAAAGCCCCCATTTTGACTTCTCAGATGTTTACAAATCTTATTAATTGGCTGTTCCTTCCTTATCCCACCTTATACCTTCATTCTTTATCTTCCTCAGTTTCTGTCCTGCCCCTTATCCACTCTCTCCCCTTTGCTCTGAAGGTCTTATCCCTGTCTTTTATGCTCCCTTCTTTGTATCCTGATACTCAGGGAGGGAGGCATTTGGGAAGAAGACTCTTCATTGCATTTTTGCAGCTATAGGAACAGATATTTTGGGTATCCCAAGTTGGAACAATGAATGTGTGTGTTGTCCTATAAAGATGTTATTATAATTGATGGTTAGGGGCCATATTTCATATCCATTATGGGTTAAATAGGCTTCTGTGAACAGGCTTGGGGGAAAAAACACTCTTTCATGCTGTGGTAGGGACATTTCCAGAAGCATCCTAAATAGGACAGGATACCATGGTTTGTCCAAAAGTAGCTTTTTGTCAGTCTGTGAAATAGGCCAACAAAATCAGTGTCTTCCAACTTTTTTTTTTTTTTTTAATGGTTTTTGTTTTGTTTTGTTTTTGAGATAGGGTTTGGCTCTTGTCACCCAGGCTGGAGTGCAATAGCATGATCTCGGCTCACTGCAACCTCTGCTTCCCAGACTTAAGCCATCCTGCCACCTCAGACTCCCAGGTACCTGGGACTACAGGTGCATGCCACCACACATGGATAATTTTTTTTCTTTTTCCTTTTATTTTTTTCTTTCTTTTTTCTTTTCTTTTTTTGTAGAGATGGGATTTCGCCTTGTTGCCCAGGCTGGTCTCAAACTCCTGAGCTCAAGGGATCCGCCTGCCTCGGCCTCCTGAAGTGCTGGGGTTACAGGCATGAGCCACCACATCTGACCATCTTCTGATTCTCTTACTTAATGGTGAATGGTGATTTGACTGTAGATGGCCTGTAGTCCCTTTCCAGTCACAGTTGCTAGAGTTGTAGGTTGTAGGGAGAAACTCACATCAATTAGTCTTCATCATGGTTTGGCTGTTGTTGTAATGGTTTTTACAGTTAGTGCTTTTTCTTTCTAAACATGTGTTGTTTTTAACTTACATGTTGATTTTCTTCCACCTTTAATATTTTCCAATTCCCTTCTAACAGAGGCGGACATCTAACCATGGTCATGCCAGGAAAAGAGCCAAGGTGAGAGCCCTTCCTCTGTAGCTTCTTTTCTAATGTTATTAGTAATACATTTCACAAGTGGACTTGTCATGAATATCTAGTTTGTTCAGATTATGTAGGCAGAGTTTTCTCACCTGTACTCTGTACCCCAATTGTGAACCTGCATAATACACACATGTACACCTACACATACACACCTCTAATGGAAACTGTATGCATACATAGGTGTATACACATTTGATGCCTGAAAGGCTGCCCAGCTGGAGCCTTCCACAGAGCCTGAAAGAACTGGATACTAGTTGTGCTGAAATATCAGTTTCTCTGCTCACTCCTAGCTTCTCTAGGAGAATGGCTGCTTATATGAGTCTTACAAACCCTTCCTTTTTTTTTTTCCCTTGTAAATTTTCTTTAAGATTAAATCCTGCCCACTAAGAAAAATGACTCAACATTTTTGGATATCCTAAAAATACAGGCTTTTTTTTTTTTCCTGCTAATGTTTTACTTTTTTTTTTTGGAGTTTTTTGCTCTGTTGCCCAGGCTTGAGTGCAATGGCGCAATCTTGGCTCACTGCAACTTCCGCCTCCCG